TCTTAGCAATGCATATTACTAATCACAAATTAAGTTTTTATATTTTACGGTAGGAAATTTACAAAATGAAATTATCTTTACTTAATATCCTAATTATTTTTGGCATAAAAGAAAAATTAATAATTTTGACCCCTACAATGTATTTTTGGCTATTGCTACAAATATATCCATGCAACTTATGACTGGTTTTGTGCTTCAGGGTCACAAATAAGCATGTATTAATATAAGCATACTATTCTGTGTCCTAAACTCCTGAAGCACTGGTCAATGCAATTTGGGAAAGAAATCAATCAAATCAGTATGTGTGTAAAAAATATTCAGATGTAACCCCCTTTGTAATTGCTAACATTTTCATAAGTAACTGTAATTTAAAAACACATTTTTCTCAGTAACTGTAACAGAAAACAGTTACATTTACTTTGTAATTAAATTATGTAATTCCGTTACATGTAACTTACTCCCCAACACTGCTGATAAAATGACTGCAGATAAAGTAAAATACAATATCAATTGTCTTTATAAACTGTTACCATTAAAGAGAGACTATTAGTATCAAGCAGACAGAACAAAAACAAAAACAAAAAACATTGCAACAGCACTTACAGATTGCCTGAAAAAAATATTTATAGTGTCAAATAATGTCAGTAAGTAAATTTTATTTATATAGCACATTTCAACATAGCAAAGCTATCCAAAGTGCTTAACAATGTAAAATTAACAGGCCGAAAATTGTTAAAGCAACTTTCATCCAAACCTTGCTTCTTAAGCAAAGGCTGAACAACCGCATGCTTAAAGCAGTTCGGAACCACACCAGTGTCCAAAGATGAGTTAATCAACACTTGGACACTGGGGCCAATTACAGGAAAAGCTGCTTTTATGATCTCAGAAGGAATGGAAAAAGGACAGACAACTAGGATGCTTACATAATCATATGAGACCTCTTTCAGGCCACTTCCTTCAAGTAATTAAAGTAACACATTGCTTTTAAATTTACAGTGAAATATCGGAGTTACTTTTTCAAATAAGTAACACAGGTTACTTTGTTTTTACTATTTGTTGACTGACAGCTCTCCTGACCCCATGTTGACAGAAATTGTGAGTAAGTGTTGAGGAAGAGACACTTCCTTCAGCCTGAGGCTTACTCATTTCACTCTTGGTGTGAAAGGGCCTTCACAGATGACAAAAATATAACTTTTGGTTTGTTTGTTTGTTATTAAAGACAAATATGTAAGCCCAGCCCAGGTGACAAAAATAACACAAAAGTAACATACTTTACTTTCCATAAAAAGTAACTAATGTAATTAGTTATTTTTTTATGGAGTAACGCAATATCATAATGGATTAATTTTAAGAGTAACTTTCCCCAGCAATGTTAAGAACACATTTAACCCTGCAGCTATAATAACCCCGAGGACCCCCTTCATAATAGCTTAATGCCACATGTCTTCCACCACAAGTTGTTATTATTATTATTATTATAAATTTTTACTAAGTACAGTATCCAACACACAGTAATATAGTGGATTTTCATACTAAACATTTCAGTCTATTTAGTGCATTAAAAACATAAACAATGCAAAACTGACATGTTTCCAAAAACAG